CTCCTTTTAGTGAATAAAAAACAAGTGATTCTTGTGAGTCGGTTTGTTTTAATGAATCAAAACAAGTGGTTGCGAGGGCATTACTAAGCGATTTCTAGGGTTTTCTAGGTTTCATTTACCACTAGGCTTTCAATAATGATCAAGCATCACTAAATAATCTGATTCAACTGAACTTTGAAAGAGTCAGAGACATCAGAGAACCTTCCCTTTTATGCTATGCATTGTTAACACTATTATGGACTGCTCTGTGTTCCTACGCACATAGTTCAGATCACAGCCAAAGTCTGCTATTCTGGGATGTGAGGTGTAAAGACAAGCCCAACTGACCTTTCTGCCTGCTTCCCTTGCCAACCTCGACAAGCGGTTGGCCTTAGTCTGAGCTACATTTTCTCTCGCCAGCCCATGCGGACAGCTGACCATTACACCCACACAGCCCGTCCCAACAGCCCCCTTTCATTCCTGTGCAAATATGTCTATCAGTCACCACCGCAACTGCCAGCCGATGTCCCGCAGGAATCTCTCCACCTGTTCCCATCAGAGAGAAAGAGCGATGGATGGAGGGGTGAGATATAGAAGGAGTGATAAAGAGTGTGCGGTATGGAAAAAGACAGAAATACTCCAACTCCCACTGACCGAATCCCCCACACATATATCCATATGAGAATCAGCTGTGCTTGAAGGTGTCATTTACAAAGGGTTACACAGGGAACATTTTATATGAATCTATCTATCCATCCATCCATCCATCCATCTATCTTATTCTGAGGAAGAACAATGAACTTAATATTAAATTACATTATAAATGTTCATATAATTATATACAGAGACAAAAGATTTTATACATAATTATTTATATACACGCACATCATGTCCTCTATTATAGTATTCTAAATGTGTGTGTGTGCATGCAGTGTGTACATTTTGTGTGACAGGAAATTACAAGAATTTGCTTTTTTAGAAATAACGATGACATGTTTTACTCCACCATGGTGACAAAAGCTTACACTCACCTGTTCACACAATGTATTTCCACAGATGAGCGCGACAGTGTGATCCACTGTATCCTACAATCCTGGAAGATAGAGGCAGCAGAGTCTTTATCCAAGGCCTGCTCAACACATTCCACATTCCTCACAGATACCATCTATTATCGTCTGACATTATCTCTGGGTTACTAGTTTACTGACCCACTAACATTCCATGCTAAATGCCTCCTACATAAAACACTTGACTAGTTACTGGCCATCTAGCAGATGCTTTTTCATGCAGAATGGTTTTCAGTGCACTAATTGTAGGGACAGTCTGCCTGGAGCAACTCAGGGGGTTAAGAGCCTCACTCATTACACACAACTGAGGTCTCAGGAACTCTCCCATTCTTGGGAAACACCAGATTAAATGAGCAATCAAGATGTATATTATGTAATAATATAGCAAACTGAAGTCAACTTTGTAATATGTCCTACCAGATAGACATCTGGTAGCATGACAATACAAATATGAAATGAATGTGGATCATACACTGTAATAAAATACAATTTCATGACCTCAAAATGCTTTTACCATAGAGCATAATTTGTAGACTAATACATTTTCATGTACATCACATAACCAGCTCCATATATGGCTTTTCTGATGTAGTAAACTTGCTCAGTAGCTCACCTGGTACAGAACTGCACTTGCGATGCACTGAAAGAAGGTGTATTGGATTTACATGATTCTGTACATACTGTAGGTTCCATATGAATCAATTAAGTAACACAAACATAATTTGTTCACGTAACTTCAGCATTATCATATTACGTTATTTTGGCTTGACCAAATTAAGTAGTGTCAAAGTGAATTCTTGATTGGTTCACATTTGCCCTATATTATTTAGGCTCATCTAGATTGTACATTTTAGAGAATTACATTAACCGAATACAAAGAAATCAAGTTTAGAAGAGGAACACAATTTTGATGTGTAGATTACAAATAGCATGATTTAGTAAATCGGACAATGTGTGTTTTCCCATTTTTTCAGTGTAGAAAGCGCTCAGGTGCGAGTCCCTTGAAACACTATAGTTATACTGGTTACGTTCAGGGTAGGTGTTGTTTTCAAATGTGATAAATCTTTTGGTGCCACTCACTGCTACTTCCCTGTTGAAAAAACCAGTGTAATGCTCTTTAGGTATGTTTTGAAGCATGGCAGCTGGTTTAAGCTGGTCCTTAGTTGGTCGTGAGCTGGTTATGAGCTGGTCCTGAGCAGGAGCTAGTGGCTTAGGACCAGGACATGCTATGCAACATACAGTACAACAGCTAATGTAATAAAATGTTGCCAGATTCACGTTCATCTGTTTCGGATTAAATTGAAAATGCTTTTAGTGCCACACACTGGACATTTCACTTTGAAAATGTCATGAAATGTGCAAAGCAATGTAATATTATTTTGCAGATATTTTGCCACAGGAAGTATTTCCAATGAGCCTTTATTTGAAATCAAACAATTTGATGAGGTATGTTTGAGTTCATGTTGAAATATCTGATCTATGATGACAGCCTTTAGTATCTTTAATTTCATAGCTATCAATGAGAAACAGTTGAGATGTTACACATAGACTGTCCACTGCTGTCCATGAGGCCTGTAGGTTCTCATTCTCATGTGTGGTATTGTTTAACACAGGGTGAAGTCGGAGAGGAGTAGTCTGGTGACCTTTGGGGTCATGGTGTCAGGTTTGTTTAGTCTGCCTTTTTCTGATCATCCCTCAAGAGACAGACACAGAACTCGCACCTGACAAAAGCACAGAGAGAGGGAGGGCAAAGCATGATGGAACAGTGGGAGCATCTAAATGCTACTTGTCAGCCTATGAGTAAGGCTTTGTCACACATGAATACTGCAAAGGTGGAGATGGAGGGGATTTTTGCGTTCATGTGTGTTGACACCTCAAGGTCACATAAAACCCACCACACAATGCCTTCTCTTACACCAGCTATATCTGTGTGGGAAAATTTCTAAAGCGTGTACACAAAACTATTTTTATTGATCACTTCTCTCTTCTATTTCTCTCTGAAATTAAGCCAACCCACTAACAAGGAAACTCCCGCACACCGAAAACCCAACACTAGTTTCTCCCTTTTCTTTATTCGCTTTCTAAAAGATAACCTTTGCTCAATGTAATTTGTTGGTCAGATAAAAACAAGGAAATAAAGTTGTAAAAAAAAAAGGCAACTTTGAACCTGTATTGATGGTAACTGCATTCTCATTGGTCAGTCATATATTTATTGCATTTCATCAGAAAATGTCTACGGTAGTACAATTCCAGAATCCAGATAAATACTAGGCAGTTACAAGGGGTTGTTAGGGTGTTGTGGCTGGTTGCCAAGGCATTGCTATGAAGTTACTAAGGTGTTCTAAGTGGTTTTCTGTGTGTTGCTATGTAGTTGGATGTTGTGTTTTTTCTTCTTCAGGGTGTTGCTATGCAGTAACCAAGGTGTTATAAGTGGTTTTGTAGTGTGTTGCTATGCAGTTGCCTATGGCCCAAGAGTCTGGGATAGGCTCCAGCATCCCTGCAAGTGTTTGCATAGTGGATGGATGGTTGGATGGATGAATGTTATGTAGTTTATAGTGTGTTGTGGGTGGTTGCCAGTGCGTAGCTATGCAGTCAATAAGGCTAAGTGTTTTTTATTGTGTTGCTATGTGGTTGTTAAAGTATTTTGGGTGTTGGCTCAAATCAAAAAGTCAAGTTCTTATGATATTCTGGACTCTATGAATCGGTAAGGTAATATGGCATCTGTCTTCAAGAAGGTTCCGTGTTGTTCAAATCCTTAAAGATGAAGCTTGCATTAAACAGCACCACTCAGTGCTCAGTTAGGTGTGTTTTTGTCCATGTACACTAATGTCCTATGCTCATCAAAGACATTCAGCAATCACCACAAGCAATACAAAAATGAAGATCTACTTCATTGAACGGTTTCTGTCTTCCCTTCTCTCCGTCGCCCATTCATCAACCTCTGGACAGCCATTTTGCATATAGTGATGGCTTCTTTATTGTTCTGCATTAGCTTTGTAAGACAAAAAGTGGGAAATCCATGCAAATCTGATTACCATAATTTGGTTATGTCCATTATAGTCAGTGTGAAGAATCTCATCATGTGGTTTAGCCTTTTTATATTCCACAAGTGAACATTAAGATATTGAGTTTATGACATGTACCACAGCTCAGTATTTTGATATGCCCAGCCTATGTGATTTCTTGTCACATATACATTAGGACATTAATATGCAGTTCAATGTTTAAATGGACATTATTAGAGTAACTGTGCTGTACTGCTCACACTATTCTTAATAGGTTCATTATCCAAATCATCATGTATAGTAGTAAAAATGTGGGTTATATAGGAGAGAGTGGAATGCATATTTACTGTATGCATCTTGGTGTGTTTTTTTCATGTAAGTGAGTGCAGGTGGCATGTTGTTTTTGAGATAATAGCCCTCAATCCAGGAAATATCAAGCTCAAGATTATGGTTCAGCAAACAAAATTGATAATTTGCTTGCGAAAGATTTCAGTGGTATATGTGTACTTGTTTCATGTATATTTATGTAAGAACAATATGCAAGATCAACTAAATACTTGTGTATTTGTGTGTTCTTGTGCTAGGCTTGTTGCTGTTCTAAATGAAAAACTCAGACTCCACCTGCTGCTGGTGGTATATCATTATCCTTAAACTTAAACTGAGGATGTGTACTTTAACACACAGTATTACTTTGGTGTGTTTTTTTTTTTTGCACATTTCCTTAATTTAATTTATTTAATTTAATAATTAGCTTGAATTATATTATAAAAGTAATTTAATTGACGTGAAATTAATGTCCAAAAGAGCTTTTTAATTTTTATTTATTTATTAAAAAAATGTAAAAACTGCTTTACCACACAAAAGTTTTTCTTGCACTACAAATATTTTAACGATTTTCAGCTTTAGATTCATTAATATCACCAGGAGAACAAGTAAAGACAAAGTGGGAAACTTTTATTTCAGTAGTTTGGCTGGTAGAAAAATATGAATATAAATTTGATAAGCTGTAGTCTGAGCCATTCTGGATTTATAGACTTTTGTCTATTTACATCCTGAACAATAATGAGTGATATTATCTACACAATGAGTTTCCATGCCTATTGAAAAAACAAACAAACAAACAAACAAACAGATAAAGGCAGGAACATTAAGACTTGAGTTCATCACAGTATCTTAGCTTTTTTTTAAATGTCATTCTGTAATGCTGTGCACTGTGTCACCTTGATAATCTCGTACTTATATATTCATGTATAGTACATCCACCCTCACACTCACTAAAAGGCAAGATAATCTTTGTAAAGTCTGCCATTCACACACTCATAAAAGATTAAAAAGCCAACTGTTTACAATAAGTATGAGCAGCCACATAAAATAACAAGGTAAACTGCTTTTCTATATATGGTTGAAAAGCAATCTGGAATATGGTGGAATGCTCTAGAAGATGTTAGGCAGCAAACGGTAGGGCACAGCCGCAGTGTAGCGGACCCAGTCCTTGCTGTACTTGTTGCTACAACGGTGCTCATCACGAATGCAGCGGTGCACCAGTAGGATGGTCATGTAGACAATGTAAAAATAAGGCAGCAAGTGCTCGCCACCGCAGGCCAAGCAGTACGCCAGTGAGCCCATCAGGTCGCCCGTGTAGTTCATGTGACGAGCCACCCCCCAAAACCCAGAGGTCATCAGTTTGCTCTTGTGAATCCCGCCATCGGCCGATCGGTATGAACACTCGATGAAGGTGGGCTTCTTACCCCAGATTTTGCAGTTACCCTCTGTGCGACGGAAAAGGTCTTTCTGGTGGTTGGTTGAGCGGAAGATGTAGTAGCCCACCAGGCCCAAGATGAGGACACCTGCAGCATGAGGCGTAGAAAGCTGGATGGGGTTGTAGACCAAGTAAAGGCCCTAAAGAACAAGAACATGAACATGACATAAACAGCATTACTCCTACTGAAATCAATGAAGCTGTGTACGAGGTAAAATAGTGAGTCTAGTATTGTAGATGTCACATCCAGCACATATACTGCTCAGATACACACCTGTAGTGTGTAGAGGAAAGGAAGCCACACGCAGTCTCCCCAGCCCAGGTACCAGCCAAAGTGATCATGGCAGATGTCAATAGTCTTGAGGTACCAGGCTTCGTTCCAGAAGAAGTCCAACACATAGATGGCCTAAGAGAAGAAAAGGGTCAAAGTTGTGATAAGAGGTAGTGATGGGAATAATGTGGATGAAATGAAAAACACTATATGAATCAATACAGAAAACATATGTTGTTGACTCTAGCCAGTATGAGCAATAGTAAAGCACTACTAAGCTGTTTTATAGTGCCACCTAGTGGCTACATGACTCACTTGCAAAACATTGACCAGGATCATAGAGTTTGTCACATAACCATACAGCTCCTGCTGTTTAGCAGCGTAGGATAAGTTAATCAGGGTCCACGCCACAATACCCGGCCGGCCATTGAAGAAAAGCTTAAAGTCAAACCATTTTCCTATACGAGGGTTGAACTCAATTCCCATCATGTAGTTGTAGAAGATGTTGCCTGTGAATTTGCTGCAAAGAGTAAGACAGAACCTATTTAGTGTGTACATGGTTTTTTTTCTTCTCTCTCTTTGGACAGTCCAATGAAACACTATTCATGCCTTTTCTGTGACCAATGGGAAACTAAGAAAAAAACAAAAAGCACACACACATAGTCTGTGATTAAGAAACAACAAAACTGGTAAAAATTCAAAGAAAAATAATTAAGTAATTTATAATAATAATAATACTTATTATTGTTTTGTTATAATTATGTACATTTATTAAATTAGGCAATTAAAATGTTCAAATTAAAGCAAGACAGTTTACACTTTCATTTATAGTTTTACAACACACATCTCTTCCAACTCAAAACCAAATTTCAGTCATAAATTTAATTGGCCAAACCACTGTTGTTACTACAGTGGGTATATAAAGTGAACATACTCCTATTACAATTAAAGCATTTCGAGATGTAAAAAAATTTACCTTGTCATATCTTTTTCCACATTTAATGCAATATTGAAACCCGAAAACATTAATGTAATAACAAAGACAGAATTATTTAAGGGGAAAAATAAACAATACAAACTTTTACCTGGTTGCATAAGTGTTCATGGGGTATGGAACTCTGTTTTTGAATTAACCAATCACATCCAAACTCTTACTGAAAAGTAATTGTAATCCTGTGGTCATCATTTAGGTGATGCTGATTAACCATGAATAAAAATCAACTGTTTCTGTAGAATTTTCTTAACATCCTCTTGGTCACATTTTATTGCTGAAGCCATGGGCTGCAAAGAGCTTACAAAGAGGATGTGTGTGTTGTACTTACTTGAATTCTGTTGGTTTCAATATTACATTCAATATTACAACTCAAAGCTTCAGTTTAACAGAGATGTGTAGACTTTTTTATACCCATATGCACAGTAAATAATCAAAATATGTTTTTTTACCAGTCCTCTGGGTTGGTAGGGAACAGATAAGCCTTAATGAAAGCCAAAGTGGACACAGCATAGCCGAGGATGTTGGTGCACCATAAGAGAGGGATCCAGTTATCAATGATGATGGTTGGTGAAAACCAGTGGAAGTATTGAGCATTAGCCACCCATAAAACATGAGTGATTATCCAGCACTGCAGACCGTTGACTTCATACTTATTAATAAGACCTGAAAGAAAGCAACACATTTAAATTAGATGAATTAAATATGGTTTTGATACATTTTACCACACAAGCGAAGCGAGTCAATTGAGCAAAAAAAAAAAAATTATTA